ATTTAGAGGATTAGTTGCTTTGCAATATAAAAATTTGAATTTTTATCATATGTTTGGAATGAAGGGAAGGAAATAAATTTTTAACCAATCAAATTATAATATTTTTATATTATAATTTAATTGATCAAAAAGTTTTTCTCTCCTCTTCCTTCCCCTCAACCCAAACATACAATTAATTTTAACTTTAAATTAAAAATTTTAAATTAATGGCTATCAACTTCATCAAAATCTTGTTGGTGCATCAATTGCTTTAATCCCTTCTATTGTCTTTCCCCCCTTTACCCAACTTTTTCATGTTTAGGAAAAAAAAGGGAAATTATCAATAAAAACTCAGCTAAATTAATACTTGCAAAGTATATTATTTACAAAATCAAGTCTAAATTTATACAATATTAATTAGCTAACTTGCAATGTGCTAAAATAAAACAAGAAGCTAAAACCTTTATTTAAGGTTTCAAAAGATAGGTTTATGCGGGAAAAAATAAAAAAAAAAAAGATTTCCCAAATAAAAAAGTGTAGAGTTGTACATTGTACTTCATATAATCATTAATGAAGAGAGCAGACTTATAAATATTGAGATTCACCCTCCCCATTATGGCTAACTAACAATTCACATAGAAAATACTACAAAACAGTATTCTGAATCCAAAAACCTCACCTTCAAAACTTTGTTAAATTTTTTTTTTTTTTTTTGTTTTTTTAGTCATAAGTTTGCTAGTTAAAGTTTGAATTGAAAGTTTTAAGTTTAAATAATGGGATGGAAACTTATAGGAAGCCTAGGATAGAAAAAGAATATCTCAGGAATAATGGTACATCATGGATGTACAAAAAGAGGAACAAACTAAGCACTGTGTTGACCAAAGAAAAACTAATTGTGCTGTCAATTGCAAATGACACAACCAAGCATCTCAATATTGTTCCTAGACTTAGAAAAACTGAATGCTGAGTTTCCATTTCGCTCATCCATGGTGTTGCCCAAAAAGAAAAGTACCCAGTTTCCTCCTTTGGACCAAATTAGCAGACAGAACCTTTCTTGAGGCTGTTGGTGCAAATACTATTAGATAAATTGAAAAAAATAGAGACTCATACCAAAAAAAAAAAAAAAAAAGGGTACAGCTACTGTACTACAATTAATTCAAGGATTTGGAGATGAAAGCTGCCGTTTTCTTTTCTTTAGCCGAAATTGGTCTCTTTCTAATGATCTATGCTAGAAGATTCGGCATTTTAAGATTATATATATTCATGTTTCGTGGCTTGATCAAAACAATAGTGGTCTCATGGTTTTATGAGAACAATGAGCGCAAGCAACCGGTTTCCAATTAGACTTAATATATACTTGGAGTCTTGGATTATGATTTACGAGATGGGTTGGTCCAGGGCAATTAACTAGACTGCCGGAAGCCCTCATGTTTCAATTTCAAAGAAAGAAACGTGAAATTTAAGAAAAGTATTACGTAGGACTGACAACTAATTGATAAAAAGTTCTGTTCTTTACTTTATTAACTCTTAACTTAATTCTTTAACCATGTTAATAAAATTCTTAAATTTAGGTTTTAAATAATATGATAAGAGGGAATTACTTGACTTTTATTCAGGAGGTATCCATAAAAGGCTGACAATGTGGCAACAATGGCAAGCATGGGTAAATACTCCAACTGAGATTGTTACATTTATATTAAAGTATGATTAAGTGTGTGATTAGCGGTGGAAAGATTGACATTAGGCAGTGGTTGGCGATGCTGTGAGTTGTGAGTCCAACGTCATCACCAGATGGTGCTTACGTGATCTTAACAGCTCCATTACGTGGAATCATAACTTGCCAGGTAAGCATTTTCGCATGATGCAGTGACGATATTAGCTGATAATGACACTTGATAATTAACGAAAATTTAATGAAATGTCCGTTGGTGGTCCAGCACATAGACCTGACACCATCGCCGGCCGCCGTCGTCGAAAAGACTGATCTAAATTAATGTTAGACTTTGATTTGTTGTGGCCGCCGCCCCCACCCGCCCACTGCGACTGATTTGTGGTTCTTATCATGTTCAAAAATACTGTTTTGGTGGCCGACCTTTTCATCATCGAATAAACTACTGCAAATCCGGTAGAAGTTTAGGACACGTGGAAGAAATAGTGTGGAGCAACCAGCAGATTGGTTTATTCCTAATCATCCCCAAATTTCCACTTTCATTAAGGGAATACGTTTTAAGGGTCCGGTATTTTAATTTTAATGGTATTAAATTATAAAATAAGA